AAGGTAAAGCTGACTCGGCCGCAAATCAAATGGAATTATTATAAGTTTAGGTGCTGTTTTTGAGAGTACACTTTATAACAAACTCAAGACAAACGCGACTCAGCTGCCACGCAAGCTCGCTGCTTTAGCACGCAAGCTTTGTTATAACATTTTAAAAGATAGCGGCAGCACGTATTTCATGGGCCGCGGATACAACAAGGAAATCATGAACATCATAATGCTGAACGCTATGAAAAATTGAGCATTGTAAAATATCGTCTTTGTAATAATATTATTTCAATGATCCCGGTATCGGCGTTACGTAATTACCCAAATTAACACGCGATTCTAAACTACTAATTCAGTGAGTTTCGGCGCTAAAATAAACAACGCGTTTACGTGTATGACATATTCGAATATATAGTTAGCACTTAGTCATGAGAATTGTATCGGCTAATGATTCAAGCCGTCTCGTCGCTGTCGTCGTCGCTATTTTGCAACGATTACCCTATACCTGCTCATAAATTCGAACCACGACGTATTAATAGTTCTAGTGCAATTATCGAGCGTCTAATGACGTGTATAAACCCGAAAAGAAGATACCCGATAGCGAATCCTGGCGAGTCAACAAATGCCGCGCATTACACAATAGTTAAATTTAACTGCGCGCGTATAGCGACGATAGTCGCTAAAACTTAACGTCGCAGCATATGTTATAAAGCTCGACCAAAAATAAAAGCTCGATCGGAAAGCTCGCGTGTGTGCGACGACGGAAGGCAACGAACTGTCACATGCTACACAAACTTGTATCTATTATTATTATTAAGTATATGTACGTGTGTGTGTGTGTGTGAGTGTGCTTGTTTTGGTTGACCGAAAGTTTTGCGCATTCGCCCAGAGAGAACACGCAGTTTTCTCGGATTTTGCGCGTTAGTTTTGGTAAACTTGCACTTTTTCTGCGTGTATTATAGTTACAGTTGATCACGCATTTTCCGATGAACATCGACCGCAGCTGCACAACATGATTTTCGCCGGGGAAAATTGGAAAAATTTGATATTTATCACGTACAAGGATGGGCGCGCGTATGCGACGTTTCTCGCACGTACGTCATGTCCTTCCTGTTTGTTGTTAAGCACGAGTATTTTCTTTCGGAAATTTACGTGACGTTTTGCTCGGAGCCGCTCCTGTGGCGGAGTAGTAGTTGTTGCTATGCAGCAGCAAAATGTCTCGGCCATTCGAGTCACGAATAAAAGCTCGATCTCTTTTTCGTCGAGTGTCGCCGAATCGTTCGTTCTCTCTGGTCTTGCAACCCCCTCTGGTTCATTCCTTATTTATAAATGTGGCGCGAGCGAGCTAGCTAGCGAGGGTGCCCCGAGATCTACACAGGCGCATGTATTATATGTAAGAGCCGAACGTGGCAGAGGAGGTGTCGTAAATCTTGCACTGCCTCGCTCGCCGCCACCCAAATGCTTTTCGAGGCCTCTCTCCTTTTGTGCGTTATATACGCGGCGCGAGAATCGCCTCGAAGGAGGTAAAGGCAAGCACGTATAAATTCGTATAAGGAAAGAAAACAGAAGTATTATAAGGCAGGCGAGTGTAAGAAGTATAAGAGAAGAAGGAAGGCGACGACGACGACGACGACGACGAAGCAGCAGAGAAGAAGAAGTAGAGGAGGCAAGTTAACAAAATTACATAAAAAGTGAAGGTGACCTGCGCCCGCCGGGTGATTCATGGGGGCTGATGCCCTCTCGCAGTCTGCGCCTGTGCGCCGCGTTCTTTGTTTTCTGATGTGTAGCAGCAAGGCGAGCGAGCGAGCGAAGCGCGTGATGTCCGTGCGTGTATATAATATTAGAAGAGAGGAGGCAGGCCTCGCTTTGCACTGCGCCCAAACTCGCACCAACACACACACCACACATGTTATAATATGAATAGAGAATGAGGGGAATTTTTTCGGACACGAGCTCTCCGCCGGCCCAGGCGAGTTTTGCGCCGACGTTACGTAATTTGATGCACGCATGCATACTGTATACCGTACGCCATGCACATGCCCCCACAATGTGTGCGAGCTAGGTGCAAACATTTTTTTTTCGGCGAAAAAATTACCGATCGTTTCGATACTTTGGGCAATAGCCAAGAAGAATTGTAATGTCACGCGGATCGAGTGCGTGACTATATAATAAGATTATTACGGCGTAAGTATATACGCGCGTTTACGTAACTCTCGTGTAAAGCTCGCGATGAGATATCGCCCCGAATGCACATAATATCTATACGTGCGTGTATCGTGTAGCAGAAACTGCGCCTTGTTGAAAGATTCGAGCGCTGTGTAGCGGATTATCTCAATTTTTTTATCAAAATCCAAATAAAAATAAGTAAATGACAGGGGAATTCGCCGAACGCAGCTCGCGCGCGCGCGTTTCAACACGCAGCTTACTCTCGCTCTCTTTCTCTCTTTCTGTCTCTCTCTCTGTTCGCCCCAAAGCAGAAACATCGTAGCAAAAGAGAGACGGAAAAAATTGGCATTAGAGAGAGGAGCGAAGCAAGGCAGAAAGAAGCGAACGAGCGAACGAGACGTTGAACCGAAGCCGATGAAAATAGACTATCGAAGCTTAATGTCAAGGTCAAGCTGGCAGAAGAGAGGCAGCGATGCTCCTGGCCGTGTGCACAAGATACCGTCTAGCCCCGCCGACGAAACGACGACGCGCTACATTCGCAAAATTGATATCTTTCTTCGTTTTTTTTCTGCTGCTGCTGCTGCTGCTGCTTATATATTTGCCCCGGCAAAAAGTGTCCACGCAGGTGTTGGGCGGAATCGAATTTCACGGACGATCGGCGCATTTTTGTCTAATATGGTAAATCGATACACGCGCTTCATTGGAAACTTTTGCCGCTGCGCATCTTGATCGTTTTCTACTCTTTTTTTTTTATATGTGTGGAACTCTTAATAGCCCATTTGTTTATCGCTTACAAGCGAATACGAGCGAGCGAGAAGAAGAAGAAGAAGAAGAAAGTCCGCTCCGCCTGCGGCCACATAATAATATAAATATGTTTTGGAGCGCATAATATAACTACACATATTGTTATCGTTTGATCGATGTAGCGATATCGTATACAGGCGTATATTATACGCGACGACGACGTCACACAGCGCCAAAGGTACACACATATTTTATTGATCAAACATATTATGCCAACTTGTCGTGATTTTGCGCGCGTCGCGTTAAATAATTCGGAATTAATCAACTTTCCTGCAAAACGCAATGATGTATACTATTTTTGTTTATCGTCTACGCACGATAACGGGAGCCATCATCGGCAGAAAACAGCGTGTATACTTATTAGCGGCGGCGGCATGATGAGCGGCAACAAAAATGCGTCATATCTCGATCTGTATTTAAATGTAATTTTTAATTGACTGACGCGCTAACTGCGCAATACAATCGTCGAGGTTTTTTTTTACCAATTCCGCGATTTGTGATATTGTATAATCGCGCCTCGACACATTGTTATTATATTCATTTATTTTAGCGAGAGAGAGAGAGAGAGAGAGTTTCATCATTCGTAACATTTTTCCGAGTATAAATTTATGCATAATATCGCCAATCACTGTAACTTCTCAGGAAGTGTTGTCGGGTTTATTAAAATGGGATAAATTTATTATTAATGCCAATTTTGCGGAAATTACCAGGCAGACAAAGTTTCGTCTATTACTGGCTTGTGTGTGTGCGTGTGTGTACATTTATTGGAAAACCAATTACCCGGCGCCAAACAAGCAGGATTTACGTATATCGAGCGCTCGAGGGAGTCCGGAACTAGATCGCTCGCAGACAGTGTGGGGCTGAAAGCTACCTATTACACGTATTGCTCGGCTGAAAAAGACAAAGAAAAATACGCTTGTATTGTGTACACTGCCTTCTCCGACTTTGCATATATTAGCGTACGAGAGAATGACTACGTTTGTGTATGTGTTGATTAGTGTGTATTATTTGTGTAATTCAGCAGGTGCTCATCGATTTTTAACCTGTTATCCGTTAATTTTCTAAGGTTTTCTAATTTGTCGAAAGCTTCTGAATTACTCTTATGTTCATCCCAATTGTATCGGTACCTCACGTATAATATCATAGAAAGTAGGTAGTACGAATATATTTGTTTGAATTTGTGCGTCGACAAACGCTGAATCTAAAAATAAAAAAGAACATATCGTTGCGTCATTTCAAAAATGCTCGATGACAATAATCGTGGGAAAGACCGCAAGCACTCGAACGGGAGCTTTATATACGAAAAGCCATCGAGTTTACGTGATTTCTAAGTAGGCGTATTGATAGCATCGATAATAATTAATTTATCACAGCTGCCTGTGTACTCATATTTTCCGCTTTCGGTCGCGATCGCAATTTTGTGTCGACGGACAAAGTCTCTAACATACATTGAACGATCGCGCGCGCGAGAGCGAGAGAGAGAAGAACGCGCAACGAAGTAGTAGCCGAATGCAAAAGGAAAGAAGAATTAAGTGTGGCACGCGAGCGAGCCGGAGTAGGGGCAAAACATTTAATCTCTTTTGCTCCCTCCACTCGCTTCGAAAGCTCCTTTTTCTCTCTCTTTCTCTCCAACGGCGCACACAAGTGCAAGCAGACAGACAGACAATCTCCCCCACTTGGCTCTATAGACCGGGTCAGACGCGCTAGTTCGCGGCGAGGGCGACTCTCGTTTCGGAGCGTTGTGCGTCTGTCGAGGCGCGCATACACACTAGACTACTACTCCGTTTACTATACGAACTTGGGAGAGAAAGAGCGACGGTGGCGACGCGCGCGACATTGGCGGCCTCCCCCTACTTTTTTGCGGAGACTCGACTGCAATATATACTATACACAGTATAGTAACATACACACATCGAGACTTCTTGTGTATAGTTATAACCAGTCTCTCTCTCTCTCTCTCTTCAGCGAGCGTGCAGGAGTGTGTGTGTGTGTGTGCCGAGAGTCGCGCACCGCAAGCCGTCAGTGAGCAGCGGCATCGCCGATCAGTTTGCAGTGAGCCGCCTCTCAGAGCGGACGTATACAGAAAAGCACGCTCCACTAGCAGCGCTTTTATCCGCTCTAACTTTTGTATACTCTCTCTCTACTGCTCTAGAACGATATTTACTTTTTTCGACAACATTGCTCGAAGCCCAAGTGCAAAGGACTTGCAGCTTTTACCGAGGACTACTACTATTGGTACTTCGCTACTCCTGTGCTTTTGAAACTTTGTGAATTGTGCTAATTATAGTGCGCTGCGGTCTCGACTCGATTCAAGAGACTCGACTTGCGGTGATAACAATACGTTTATGATTCAGGAAAAAATCCATTGAACAGTGTGAAAAACCGATTGACCGATTTTCGTTGGTCGATAATCGTACATTTTCAGCGATCGATACCAATCCGTCACGACAACGACTTGTGTGCGTGCAAAAAATATCAACATTGTGCTAAATTTGAAAATTTTCAAAAGTGACCTATCGAGTGAGCTGCAAAAGTGGATCGTAAAATTTTGCCGGCTTCCACTTTCGCACGAGAAACATACGATATTGGTAAGTTGAAAATTCGCAAATATACGATTTACCATTGAGCGAAGAAATGACTTTTGCCTATTTTAAAATTTGTCCATAATTGCGCGATCGAGATCGGGCCACTCCAAAATTTTCTCGTCGTGTGTAAGCTCAATTTTCCTAAAGCACGCTAAAGACGCCCCTTTCAAGTATATAAAGTAGCGTTATATAGGTGTACTCGCGCGAAATCAACGCGTGTCGGAGTCACATTGTGCAATAACAGTCCATTCACCAGTAAAATACTAATCCGAGAGCTTTTGCTCTTTAAGTAGCTCGCGCGGCGGCACATATTCTCGTGCGCACAAACACACGCTGCCAGACGGTAGAGCAACAATTGCGTGCTCGAATCGCGCAATAAATCGAAAATTGCCGAAAACGTCACGAACGCAGCTCGCGTTATTTACGCCAAATCAAAGGCAAAAGATGAATAAACGCGAGTCGAGAAGCGCGCAAAACAATTTTTATAAATTCCACTCGAGAGGCGTACCGTATTTTTACGGCCGCGTTGCGAACGATAACAACGCGTTGTGTGAATGGGGAAAGGTTGGCTCGGCGTTGCGTCATTGTCGAGAAATTACGCGCTCGTCCGTCTCCGGTATCGCCCTTAAAGATATCATGCATGTTTATTCGATTCCAAGACGCGTGCCAGAAAAGTAAGAAAGAAAGAAAGAGAGGAGGAATATCAATCGCGCAGTACGGCTCTGCTTTGCTCGCACAGTCGCGCGCGTCCGAAATTGTACAAGTTTTATAAATAGCTCCCGATGAATCATCCTTGTTTGATTGTCAAACTCGCTGGCGTACGTATGTAATGTATAAACACGGAGAGTAAGAGAGAGAGAGCTCGTCGTTCGTTGACAGTTATAGCGCTTCTAATTTTCCGATATCGTAGTGTTAAATTAACGAAAGGCAAAATTACGGAAAGATTCGAAAGGTTGGTAACGGTGCAGGTGCACCGGGTGAAATTAGGAGAAGCGAAAATTTCATCGCGTATATAGGCCGATAATAGCGTACGGTACGTAGTAGTAGTAGTAAGCTGCAGTATAGATAGTAGCAGTACGCTACCAGACATTGTATAGAGGCTCTCTGCAGCTGTGGGCGAAAGAAGGTCGGTGGTTTGTGTATTATGTGGAACTATCGCCGCATATACACGCTCGACATTGTTCCAGATCCGCGCGAATCCGTAAAGTCCTCCCCCCACCTGTCCGCGAGCCGGGGGCCTATTGTGCACGCGTATACTGTCTCTCTTTCTCTCTCTCTTTCTATCGTATACATATAGATATATCTATAGGTGCACTCGACTACTCGTTCCAAGATCAAAGTCGTCGTTCTACTTAAATCGTCCGCGTGCATAAAGACTGCACACTGCTGCTGCTGCTCGTGCTGTAAGTATGCGGCGGACGTATAACCTTGCGTAATATATACACACACGCTGCACACATGTCATCGGAAGATAAGGGCACACAACTCGACAGGCGTATCTCGTTCTCGAACTCGCGACCAAATTACCGATCGATCGAGCCGTGAAAATTAAGATATATAATGACGTCTCGAGAGCACGTGTATAGGCCAACAAAAATATACGTAATGTACGTATCGGCGCGCGAGCCTAAGAGGCGGTAGTAGTGTAAGCAGCGCGACGGAGAGGGTGAATTTTCAATGAAGCTCGGGGATCGATCAGGATCCTTGAAAATCCGACCTACGTACGTGCAGCGTCTGTGTGTGTGTACGTATGCGTGGCATAAACAGGCAGCGCATGCAGTGCAACAAGCGCGTGTACTCGCGAGCAGTGCAGTCTCTCTCTCTCTCCCACCTTCTAACATCGACGACCGATTTGCGCGCGGCAGTAGCAGCAGCGGCGACTATCGCGTACGTACGATGCAAAAGTGGGCCACGGACTAATTTGCAGAAACACAACTCGCCGCGCTGCCTCGCTCATGTTCGTCGTCTATATGTACACAGGCTGCACTCGCTCGTGCTGCTCGGCTTCGAGCACGCCGACGTATGATATAAGCGAAGGGCATCTCTCTTTTCTGCGGTTTTATTATTGCCGCCTATACATGTATTGCGCGGCTCGAACTCGCGAGCGCACAGCGATCTGACGTAATATCAAAAAATGTCGTAACCTTCGTTTCGACAAATAATTAGAAGCGCGCTTTTTTTTCCTTTCGTTATTACACTCTTTTTTTTTGCCGCCACTGTTGCTCCGTATCCTTGGATAGACGTAATTTTGAAATTTAGGTCAGGCGCACACGGTACGTACGCGGCTACGCTATATACGCGCGCCACCGAGCTATGAGGTAAGAAAAGATCGATTAATTATGCATCGAATTAGAGGAGAAGGAAACAAATTTAGACTCTCTGTTAATGCATTTAATAGATGACTGTGTCAGCCGGGCAGGTGCTGTATGTGTGTGTGCACCCAGTAGTGCGGCAATAGAGCCAATATCGCGGCGCGCAGAAGCTGTCGTTGCCAGAAACTAGGCCAATGTCTCGAGAATCGCGAATACAATAGCACCTATTGAACTGGCGCAGGCTTTTTTTTCTCTCTCTCTCCGTGTTACGTACGTATAGCGTGTATAGTAGGCAAGGACACACGATCGACGACGAGAGGATTACATATCCGGCTTTTTTCGCCACTTTTACAGTTATTACGATGCCTATAATACTCGCGTCACATCTAACAAAATTTACCGTTCGTTTTTTCATCGAAAATATTACACATGTTGAGTCGCGAATGTGGATATACGCGAACACGCTAACGGTATGGCATATACACACACACACACACGTACTCGATACGTACGCATGTATAATACAGACAGCCGCATAATGTAGAGGTATTTTTTAAAAGTGTGTATGCATAAGCTTGTATATTACGAATATAAATCCATAATGACTTTACGGCATTTTTTTTTAAAAGGCCTCAAACATCTCGAGCTCCAATTCATTGACCTTCCTCCAGACACGAGCCGAGCTAGCTATATAGCGACGCGCGCGCCTCCGTACGCTAAGGCAAATCGCCTCTTACTCGGAAAGTAGCGTAACGATTGCTTCACCTACATTTTATACACACACACTCTCGCACTTGCAAACACACAGAGAGTCTAGTTGTACTCTAGCTCGTTGTGTGTAGTATTGTATCGCGCAGAGGATGTATCATCATCGGCATCGATTTTTATTCCGATGCGGCTATACACACACACAGACGCGCGACAAGCTGTATGTTTTTATCGTCGTTGCGTCATCGCGCATGAACTACTTAGACGATCGATACATAGATATATGTGTGCGAGCTTTTCTCTCGTATCGCTTTTCTCTCGATGTGTACGCGCCGAGCGGCACGTGGATTTCTTTCCTTCGGTACTTTACACACTTTTTTTCTCACCTCTTCTATTTTTGATTTCGTAATAGCAACATTCGGTAATTGCTCGGTTCTTTTTTTTTCTTTCAACAATTATCAAAAGCGCACAATGTTGAAATGTTTCAATTTTAATGACTTTGCCGCTGGCCAGAGTCTCGATAACGCCAGAAATAGTAGATAAAACCTCTCGAGCAACGTCCTTATCGAGTCACGATAGAATTACACCGAAATGAATTTTTCATAACGTCGCGCTCGGTGCAGTATTATAATATATACACATTGCGTGCATAAAAGGCCTACGCTTAACTGTACATCCACCCACAAAAAGCTTGACGCAATCTTATGTAACGCGCGCGCGTATACGGTGTGTACGAAAACTCGGACACCCTCGTTCGGGCATCAAGCCTTTTTTTCTCTCTCCTCTCACCTCTCTCTCTTCCACAGCACATCAAGAGCGCCTCCTTTCACGTAGTTTGCTGCTGCCGCGCGTTGCGAGATGCACTGTATGCGCTCGGCAGAGAGAGAGAGAGAGAGAGAGAGAGAGAATATACACGTCTTTGTGGGTCTCTTCTGCGAGAGTGACCTAATATCCTAAAACCTACGGTAACGTTCACCGCACATTCGCGGCATTTAACGGTTAATCAAATCCAATGTTGCCGCCGCGCGGCGCTCTCGTCCTCGTTTATTTGTGCAATGTATGTGTGTGCACATTTACGTGCTTTCACAAAATACACACACATTCATCATCGTCGCCGCGTACTGCCGTTCTTTTTTTTTTCGTAATGCATGCAAATAGAACGCGCTGCACATGAATTTATAATAAATTCAGTTACATTGACCATCCTGTATTCGGTCAAGAGAGGGTCACTACTGCTAATCGTCGCGAGGCATGCGCGCGACGTCATCGATAAAGAAAACCCCAACGAGAAGAAAGAATTAGATTTCTGAAAAAAAAACACACAGCGGTCGTGTCATCGCGATAAGAATAGACAATAATTGGCTGGATATCGGGGCGCCGCGCGGCTTACATCATTTTGATAATTTTACGGGTTATCCTGCTGGCGCAGCTGAGAAGATGATTTATCAAGGCAGGTGACAAAACATGGTAATAGAAAGGCCCCCGAGCACTGGCGTGTTTGTTTGTTTGTCAACGGCACGCACGAAAAGCACATTAGCCGGGATCCCCACGCGGAGTCTAAATTTCGAGTTCAACGGCCGCGAGTCAATATAACAGAGCTTGTGCGCGACGATGATAATATTGTATGTGATCAGCGTCGTCGTTTTGGTTAAATCGTAAACCGGCGCGCACACGCCCCCTTTTTTCACAACGACGTCACATGGCACGTATTATATATATATATATAATATCAGAGAAACTTGTACAGTTATCATAATCACCGTGGCTCGTATTGTACATACACGATCGGGCGAAGATGCGCGCGTGTAATACTCGAAAAAAAAAAACACGCACACGCACATTTTTCATTGGGACACATGCGCAAGGGGGCTAGAGATCGTTAAATAAAAATTATACAAAACACACAGAGCTCGTGTTTGTATGTATATACAGCGTGTACTTTTACATTCGGCTGATTATCTTATCGTGCTTACGAAAGCTTAATTATTTCGTCTCTCGCTCGCTATAATAATGAAATAAAGGCTCGCCCACGCACGTCATTGCTATAGGTAACGCTCGTGTGGCGCACTCCTCTATTCGACACTTGTCACTATACACAATCAAGCACGACGACGACGAGGAGAAAACGTGCTTGGGGCGCGCGTGCGATAACGTTTTTCCGGAGAGCAGCGGCTCGACATAATGCACGCACGTATATCGGATCGATGGTCTCTCTATAGCGATATATATATACTTATAAAGCCACGTGCTCGCGCGCGGCCAGATTGCGCAACGACCGCCTCTCTTTATATACTATACGCAAACGTGATCGCTTGCTCTCCGCACGACGACGAGCTTTTCCTTATTATCATTATTGCCGCGCGCACATGCGAATAATATCAACTTTCGAGTTTTTTTTTCCCCCTTGTAACGATCATCCGTGTGCGCGCGTATCCGCGATCGCCAAGCGTGTTTCCGCGAATGACAAAATATAATAAAACTCACGCCTCGCGGATCGGATGTGTGTCGGCATTTCACGTGTATCGTGGATATACAGCGTGTATATTGGCGGACTCGTTACTCAATATAATATCGGAGCTCTGCCGAGCACGTTTTGCAATACTCCCACTTGTGCTCCGGCGCCCGATACGAGAGGCACACGCGGTTGGCGGTGGCGGCGGCGGTGGCTTGATCGGCCCCGGCGACTATATAACGCAATAATCCACCGAAACGAGTTGGCATATACGCACACTAACATACACACGTATAAGAGTCCAATTAGTCGTCGCAGAAAACGTGGCTTTTGCCACCCGGCAAAGAAGAAACGTGAGCGCGGCACCCGACTATAGATACATAACTCCCTGTCACGCGGATCGTCGACGCTCTCTATGTATATATAGCGTGAAAAATATATTTAACATACACCTCTGCGTCTGTGTGTAAGAAACGCGTCATGACAACGACGACGACGACGACGACGACGAGCAAGTTGTTTTTTTTTCTCGCTGTTTTTTTTCTTCTTTTTTTAACGAACAGCAGAAACGTGCTGCTGCTATGCGCGGATAATATCCAAGCTCACGCTTAGAATACACGTGAGTGTTACCGACCGCGCGTAATAAATAAAAGCGTGATTACAAAATCGCTTAGCTATTTTGCTGTCTTTTGCAGTATTTATATAGGAGCGCGGTATACGAGCGCGTGGCTTCTGCTTTTCTTCTCGTACTTCTTCGTTTTTTTTTTTATTCTTTTTCTCCAACGCTACACTACACAACTTTAGCTTATGTCAGCGATATTAGATTCGCGATAATATTTCATCGCGTGTACTTTTCGTACAATTTCGATTTGCAAAAGTTCCCTTTCTCCGTAAAACGTGTCGCAACGTCCGCAGCAGGATCGAGCAATGTGTCGACGACCTACACAATTGCCAAATTTCGATCGCGAGCGACTTACAGCCGAAGCTAGGCCATTGTGATTCGATTTAAAGAAATCAAAGCAGCGAAGATTAATTCTCTCTCTCTCTCTCTCTCTCTCTCTCTCTCTCTCTCTCTCTCTCTCTCTTTCTTGCTTCGTACAGATTCGTGATGCAACGCGGCAGAGACATGAATTAATAGGGATATCGTATGCGTTGTGCGCCGATCGGTTGCCCAATGCTCCGCGTGTGCCCGCTACTCTATATGCAGCGATCGAGCCGGGCCTTGATCAATTTTATTGTTAATTCATTGACACTGCTTCAATGCAAAAGTGTAAAATATATTTGCTCGAACCGCGAGAGAGAGCCATGGATGCACGCGCGCCGATCGCTCACAAGGAAAAACGCCTTAAAATAGAGCCCCGAGCGCAATATTGGCAATTATTTTTATCGGCAGCTAGCAGTTGTACATTAGGAGTTTTTTTTCGTCGTCGTTATACCAGACAGTAACAATATGCCTATATATCATGCACCGAGGCAGTAATCACATGTACATTTTTACGTAATATTGGAGAGGTCGACCGGCATGTAAGATCAGCCTCGATCGGAGATCATCGTAGTCGTTGAAAAGAAGCATCAACGGCGGCAGCATCCGAGGCCGTACACGTGCCGATCGTCTTCGGCCGCTAAAACATGTATATAAGAGCGAATAATACACGTGAGCTACTCGATAATACGTGCTCGGCATGATTGCACTTGCGGCTGCCTCGCGTTATTTCGCAGCTATCGTAAGTGCATACGTATACACGCTTGACATCGACGCAGCCGAGCTTGAGCACGTGTATCGAGTGAAACCACGTGACGATCTCGCTGTATAGCTATAATATACGTGTTAGCTTATAACCGCGGCGACGGCGGCGGCGGCATCGGGAGGAAAAAATTGTCAATCGAGCGCGTGCGCGTATGCATAATAAACTGATTGTTGTGTAACTATACATGGATCGAGCTTCGCACCACCAGCGACTGTCGGATATTCGCGAGACTCGCAAGAGGCGCGCGGCGCGTGACTTACGTGAAATATCGCGCATCGATTTTGAAGGATAAACGCACGCATTTCGTAACTCGATATATAGCCGACTGCGGGCCTGCGACAAATAATGTGTATCATTAAAGGAGCACATTCATCTTAATTACTCAAGAGCACGAACTTGAGATTACTTATAAACCGATCGAGCTCCGCTTTTAGTTTCTTCATTTGTCATTGATTTATTTCGCTTGTGCGGCGCGCGGCCGATCTCTTTCCAATAACGCGTCAAGATTCTCGATGCGCGTGCACATCATCGTCGACCAAGAGCCTCGCATTTATTATTGTCGCGCGGAGATTAAAAGTCAATAAACAAATTGATCTCTCTTACTGTCGGTCGCGCCGTTCATATATACGCGCACGTTTCGACATTTAAAAATGCCAACGAAGAAGGGCAACGATCGTCGACGTACACATTATTATTGTTGGTGTACAGTCGTTTTTCTCGAGTGCGCGCGCTCGAGTCGTCACGTGTGACTCCGAGATGCCTCGTCGGCGCAATCTTTCGCAGGCCACGTGCTTTTCGCGATCGCGCTTTTCATGACGCGGCAAAACGTGCACGTTTATATAGATCCTCATACGGAAATAGCTGCTCTCTATCTTATAAATCCCACCGCACACAGGTAGAACGCACTTATACTTCCTCGATTTTCGCTGAGCGCGCTATAGCTCGAAACCCGAGGAGCTTTTTCGATTTCGATTGGACTTTAGAAAAGCGCAAAAATCATTTTCTTGTAAATTTTTTTAGATCCATACAATTAAATTTGATTTTAACGATCAGTCCAAGTAACGCAGGTCGTAAATTTTTTTGATTGCAGATGCTTTGAGAAAAAAAATTATGGTAGCTGACTTTATCGCACGACAGAGTAGATCGCCCATCAATGGTGAGACCGCCTGTCTGAACAGCAACGCGATGCCTTCCAGCCACTCAATGGCCCACAATGGTCACGCCGACAGTCACGGACCCATGAGCCAGATGAACCACTCCGGACACCACAACGGACCCCTTGCTATGCACCAGCAGCAGCAGCAACAACAGCAGCAGCAGCAACAGCAGCAGCAACAGCAACAGCTTCACCACCCACAGCCCCAGCACATGCAATTGCCGCAGCAGCATCCAGTCCAGCAGCAGCAGCTACACCAACAGCAGGACTCGAATCACTCGAATCACTCGAGCCACTCGAACCAGTCCGAGAGCGAGTACTCGTACGAGATGCGCAAGGACGCGGCCCTCTTTTCACAGCGCAAGCAGCGCGAGTTCATTCCCGACAACAAAAAGGACGACAGCTACTGGGACAGACGCCGGCGCAACAACGAAGCCGCCAAACGCAGCCGCGAGAAGCGCCGCTACAACGACATGGTGCTCGAGCAGCGAGTCATCGAGCTCACGAAAGAGAACCACATCCTCAAGGCTCAGCTGGACGCCCTCACGACCAAGTACGGCATCTATCCCGAGATCATCCCGGAGCAGGTGTTGGCCAACATCCCGGCCGAGCCGACGCTCGTCAAACGGGCGAAGCTCCAGAGCACGACCTCGGCTCTGCTGTTCTCCACGAGAACCCCCAGTCCGGTACACACCTCGGTCATCCATCAGCCCGTCAGCGGAACCCGCTCGCCGAGATCGCCCGCTCAGATCTACCCGCCCGAGACGAGCGCCTACCCGGAGCCGGAGGGCTTCAGCAAATTCCACACCTTCCCGCATCCGGCCATAGCCGCTCAGTTCGAGACATCGAGCGCGCTCAACTTGAGCCGCGGTCGTCGCGCCCAGTCGCCCTTCGACGTGTCCAGCGGCAGCGGCGACGAGGGCATCCAAATGGCCAGTTCGCCGACAAATCTCAGCAACGGCGTCAACAACAACGGCCCAAGCAATAACTTACCGCACAAACTGAGGCACAAGTCGCGCATCGGCGACAAGGAGGCAGCCGGTGCTCTCCTCTCTCTGCACGGAATTCAAAGCATCGCCGGCATCAAGCAGGAGCCCGGTCCACGCGCCTCGCCTCCGTGGGACGAGGGTTCCAGCGACGAGCGCGACTCCGGCATTTCTCTGGGAGTCGAGTGGGCACCTTCGACCGTGGCGCCCGTCGCCTCGCCCGCGGGATCCGACCCGGTCGATCAAGTCGTCCGAAGCCAGCTGGCGCGCCTCCAGAACGAGGTCGACACTCTCAAATCGCTCGTGGCCGAGAAGGACAAGAACAAACTGGCGGCGGCGGTGGCCAAGAGCGGAGCCAATTTCGCAGTTACTGCCGCGCAATGAGCTCTGATTTGCGTTTCGGCAAAACAAAAGAATTATCCAGAACCACGTCGAGATAGACTGGCTTCTGGGCTGATTCGTGTTCCATGATTTCGACCTTTTCTTGCACGAGACTATCTCTAAGATCCGGATGCAGCAACAGAGCAGCGCCTTGTTGTGTGGCCTTGTGAGAAAAATATTTGCGACCATTTTTCTTGAAAAGGGGACCGAGCAACGATTATTTCGCTCCGAAATCCAGCTCGGGCCAGATAGCAAGAGAGAAAAAGTTCGCGAAAACAGAACGAAATTCTGGGACATAAATGTTACACTGTGATAAGGATTCCGACGCCTCAGCGCCTCTGGACTATTAATTTTTTTTTTTCGTTTTTCGTATACACGTAGATAACTTACTTTTAAGGATAAATGTCTGTTTGCTATTACATTTAACGATATAAGTCTTGCACCAAGTATAAAGACAGTTTTTCATTATCTTTCATCGAGCTTATACGTTTTTAAGCACTATCCTGGCCTGCGTACTGGGGACTTATTACATTCATTATACGTTAAACATATAGCGACATTGATGAGAATAAGATCCTTTTTCAATTTATTTGAAAATCATTGAATGTGCATGAACAAGTATTATTCGTACATTGGCGAATAAATAAACAAGCATGAATCACTTGTATATTTTTGTGTATTTTTGAGTATACGCCACCGACGCAAGGAGTATGCTAAATATTGTAAATAACTATATCTATCTCATACAGAAATTATCGGAATGATTTTTGAATGAAAGTGTGCCGTATGCTTTGAGAAATTTATTTATAAATATAAAATCGTAACTAGTTGTACTTTGTCTTATTTAGCTGTCATTTAATAATTAATATTCTCTTCATTTATTTGTATTAAATATCGATGGGAATTCATGTTAAATTGTAAAATTATTATTATACACGTAAGCTATTCTTACGAACTTCTGTACAAACTTGGAAAGTTCGTTCATACGGTTCAGAACAGAAAAATTGCGAACGTTGCTTTGGCAGCACTGAGCTGTAGGTTTTAATTCGCCCAACCGGCTCTCATCACCGCCACTTAATAAGCCTTTTTAAAAAAAATGAGTAAGACCAGTCATCCAGACCGAATCTGGATATTCTGATTCAATCAAGAATGGGTTTATCAACTGGCATAATTCGATTTTACACCTTTTTATACGTGTTAATATTCATCTGTAATTGTATTTTATTTGTACCATCATCACACATCACTTTGTAAATTGTTTATCATTCGCATCACATTGACTGATAAAAATCTTAAAATTAGAAAAAAATTAATTTAATTATTATTATCGTCGTACCTTATCTTTTTGCGAGTATGGAAATATATGTATGCAAGTTCAACTAATGACACATCGAAAACAAAGAAAACGATCAGGAGGTGCCTTTGCAATGGTTTCAGAAAACTTTATTATTCCAAATTAAAAAAAAAAGAAATATTTTTAACCAAATTAAAGAAATGAATAGGTCGAAACGATACTTGTGTTATACATGTGATATTGGCGTAAAATGAAGTCTTATAACAAACATATATATGTGAAAATTAAATAATAATAATAAGGCACGAGTTGTATGAAAACGTGTGGAGTATAATCAATTATTTATAAAATTATTTGTGTATATTTAATGATAGGAGAGAGTGTCTGTGTCGACAGTAAGGGATGTTCTTCGTTCAATTTTTCATCAATGCAAAAGTATTAAAAAAATGTTTATAAAATCCATCTATTTCGACGAGAAGATTGGATGCTCATTAAGCCCAGATTTTTTGTAAATAGAATTATAAATGTGTAAATAAGGTTTATTGAGTTTTCAATTTTCATAGTCAAAATAAACTTCAGATTTATCATATACATGATCGCCCTTACTGAGCCTAACACAAGACTGTTTATATTACAATTCAGCGTTACAACAACGATAGAAGTATCTGTAATAGATTCTTTTTTTTGATTGTTTTCATTTTTTACCTAAAAAGTTTGCTCGCAATGTACATAAAAAATTTTACGATTGTATTGCATAAAGTTTATCTTTCGTATTAATTATAAATATAATAGTCAAAAATGCCTGGATGAATAAAAGTTATTGATTAATTTGAAAAAGTATATATTTTATTGAAACTTCACGTGTCGTTTTTGCTTATGATTCATTCCGCAAATCTTATTGAGCGATAATGGAGATACTAAAAAAATTAGGATGCGTTTGTGCAAATGTTATAACAATGTAATTGACTATTTGTAAGTATCGACTGGAATAAATGTGACCAGCAATAAATAATCTCTTTCTTTTACTTTTAAACTATACCCGAATATCTCACATACTAGTATCCTAAAATTTACCTACTATCAATCAGAGTTATTATTAATAAAAAGCAAATAATTTTAATGGATTCATGCTTAATAATAATAGTAATGTATCAACGTTTTATAACAGTCAATGAATTTATGAAATGATAGAACATATATTTTGTTTAAAAAAAGGCAAAATAATGATTATTATACTTTATGTGCTGTGTGCACTGATGTTTTTTGAAATTGTATTCAACAATATTTCAATTTAGATACTTTTACCGACCGAGTAAGTTCATTATTCCAATACCATGAGAGATTCATGCTTCACGAGTGGTATTTAATCGAGCTATATCATACATTGGTACATAACCAACAGTCGGTAAATAATATCTCACCTTACGGACATCCCTTACTTATCTTCGTCTGACTTTACGATAATCGTCAAAAATAATATTAAATCAACTGAAGATGGCGTTATGAATTATGAAATATTTTTTGGTTGTAAGTATTCACATAACAATAAAAATCATTTGGAATGTAAAATGTGAACTTTTAATGTAAAAAATTACGTTTTTAAATAAATACTCTTTCCAAATTAATTTTTGAAAAAATATTATTAACCCTCGCTGTAAATAACTCTACTTTTATCTGAGTTAAGACTAAAATTAAATAAAATAATTAACTGTTGTTAAAATTTTCTACCAAAAAATAGTAAACAGTAAAACAACGTTAATTAACTACTTTATCACGAAATGAAAAGGTTTTGGTGAAATCTATTTACGTGGTACTTTGATCACGAAAACAATTTTAATATTTTCGATTCTTAAATATTATTTTTCGTCATAAAATGCTGGGTGGAAAAATACTTAAATTAATATTTTCATTTATATTTGCATATAAAAATTAATAATAGAATGACACCCAAGAAAGATACACTTGAAAATTAATGTTACAAAAGTACAAAAAAATTTTTTTATTAAAATGCTATGGACTTCAATCGGTAAAGGAGTCGATTTTCAGCATAAATTACAATCGTCTGAATAATTTCCATACAGATAATCTAAAAATAAAGCAGCTGCAGGACTAAATCGACGGAACACTTGTGAGGAAAATTGGAAAATTCACGTCTACAAAGCTCTACGATTCAAATGTGTAGTTTTTTTTCTTCGTCATGTTAAGAGCGCTTGCATGTTTTCGAGAATTCATCTGGTAATATAGTGCAATGGCGCTTGAATTCTCACTCGTACCAAACTGCAAAAAGAATCCGATCACGGCGAAATACTTTTGCTGGCGTCGTCGCGACCCTCTATTGTTTTTCTCTCATATAAGTATAGCAGAACGCGCGCGTGGAGAAAATGTCAGATCGTGAATGACAATTCCTGAGGCCCGAAAGAATTTAAATTAGTCCTTGCTGCAGGTTGAAAATTAATTGATTTATATACGCTCTCTTTCTCTCTCTCTCTCCGACTCTCTTTCTATAGTGCTTGGGGTACACATATATGAAGAAGAATTCGTGCGTATACTGTCGCAGAAGAAAAATGCAAAATGTTATATATTATGCTTCGCATCTGCTGGAGAGCTGCTACTGCTTCTTTCGCTATATACTGCCTACTTCTGTTATGGATGACTGAAGAAACAATTTAATGGCACATCAGGGCTTTCTTATATCCTCGACGCTGTGAACTGTGCGTTGTTTGTGTGTGTGCCTGCGTATATGTCCGTATCGATGTGTGTGTATGTGAGTGCATGTGGATTATTACTTAATTGAAGCTCGACTGATTTATATCGGCTATGCGAGAATTCCATCGCTCGTGGTGTACTGATTATTAACCACTAAAACGGCCGAGAACGATTCGCTCCGTTTGAATATTCAAGTCTTCTTGAACTTTTTTAGTGTGTGCACATATGTGTGTAAGCGAGATCTTAAAAGAGAGAGAGAGAGAGAGAGAGAGAGAGACTTTAATTGTGAAACGCGCACATACCGATATGGCCACGATTTCGATTAACGTGCTAATCGTTGCTAATTTTTTGCCCGTAAGAACTGTAAAGTGTATAATAAACACGTGTACGTATGTGTATGCGCCTCGTGCAAGCGAGTGTGTATGTGCACTCGGCCGGCAGCAGCAGCAGTAGCAATAATCGAAGTAACGACGTTGAACGATGAGCCATGTAACATAAATACAACGTGAGATATTCAGCAATATTTCGAGAGTAGATTAACGAGGGAATCGATTCTCGAGCGCAGTCTATAAGGCTTTATAGACGGCGCGGTGTGGGCATATATACACATACACACGTAAAGCCGTATTATGTGATATGCAACATCGCGTGCCAGCTAATGAGAGTAATCACTTAATAAAGCCAATGTGCATCGCGTGATACCCTTAACGAGTACATACATACTCGCGCAACCCACATAAAAAAACCGTGGAAAAATATTCGTTTGACTTTTGAGGTTTTATCGGTACAAATGAACGCCGAGAGAAAGAGAGGGAGAGAGAGAGAGAGAGAGAGAAACACGAGTTGCTTTGCTATTAATTTTCAATTTTGCTTGAGAAAGCCGCGCTTACCGCACGCCGCGGTGGTTTACGATTGCGCGCGCAAACGTTTGATACGAGGCCGAACGCAGAGAATCCTGGTATTAATGGACTTGGAAAAACCTCCCCGAGGAAATAAATCAATTGTACCGTCTTTTGTTTTTGTTGTCGTTATTGCTTCTTTTTTCTCCAAGTTCGATTAAAATTGAAAATATAAAGTTACGCTAACTCTTTTCGTACGTGCTCGATTCGACACCGGGATCGATGGCTCTTCACTTTATGCTAGATAGCATCATTCGTCATTTCGAGCGCAGCGCGCGTACCCCATTACGATTCTTCAAAAAAAAATAAAAGGGGTACTCGTAGCTCTCGGCTCGAGCAGCAGCTCCAGACCACACGAAACTGTGAGAAACATATGCATATCGGAAACGCGTACAACCTATTCAGCACCATAATCATTACGAAATTTCGCTATCCACTGGCTGGTGCGCGTGAATCGAAAAAAAATGATTCGCTCGAATTTTCCACGCGCCACTGCAGAAGACTTCCATCTATCAAATGCGGACACACTCGTCGCAGCGATCGTCGCTTTGCGTTAGAAATCGAAGAAATCCATTAATCATGGATCTCGCGCAAATTCAGAATCGATTCGTATCCGTTGTTCCAGCTTTTTTCCGTTGAGCCACAGATCCTTTCTTTTTCTTCCTATACATATGCCAAAGATTATGCAAATACACGTCTTCCGAGGCTCCGGTGTGCGCAGCACGCGTTATTTCTAAATATATATAACGATGTGGAAAGAGGCGCACTCGCATATTATATATTTCTTTAGCCGACTTGTCTGCGCGCAGATCATCACGATCATTTTTATCGTCACCGTCGTCGTCGTCGTCGTCGTCATATTGCTTCAATACAAAATTTCTTGTATTTATACTAAGCAATTTTTCGCGCAGCTTGCCTTTATACGAATAGGCGATCTATAGCTATATTTGCATACGGGATAATAATGCTTGAGGGGGGGTCCCCCTATTTCGAATTCTAACGTTTCCTCGACAAAAGGGTTGTTGCCTAGATGGAGAGAAAAAAACGAGGAGAAAGAGAGAGAAGCGGCTATATATGTATAATCATGCGTGCGAAATTCTAATTTGACGTTAGGAATTATATACGTAACCCTCGAGTGATTTCAAGTTTTCTTCACGGTATGAAATACGAGAAAAGGGTTGCGAATCCTTTTTAAAATGTTACAGAAAATGATAAGCACAGCCGAGAAAGGTCGGAGATGTACGTGTAAAAGCAATTTGAATGAAAAGGGGATGTGTTGCCTATATCCTTTTTTCACGAAAGCCCTTCGTACTTTTTGGGTCGAAGAAGAGGAAGAAGAGTTTGCTCGAGAGAGAGAGAGAGGCAGGTATAACGGGTTACATCGAATGCGTCCTGGGAAAACATTTTTTTATATATCCTACCGGGTGGACTATTGCCTCGACTTGTCTCGATATTTTTCACGTGCGATATGTGAACTTTTTTTAATGGGGTTTCTTCGACAATGGATTTCAAAGTCGCACTCATTTATCTATGCTTATGTATTCACGTTTCGATGTGCTCGACAGCATCATAATTCCCATCGATACTTGCGCCCGATAAAAAGCCAACGGAAATATCTTATATAGTCGACGAGTTTCTACGAAAGTATCATAAGTACGAGTTGGAAGCGAGCCGAATCGAGCCGAATCAAACTTGTTACTTTTTTTCTCTCGTCCAGTCCAGGCAAAAGATCGTGTCTCCCACAATTACATCGAATGCAGTACGCTATATATGCTATTTCCTAGATCACGTCTCCAAATTTCCCCGCGAAATCGTTCTGATTGCTCTTCTCGCTCGCGAATGTCCTCCTCGGACTGTATCATTATACTGAATGGACTCGAGGTAGTCATTTCCAGTCTCTCTTTCTCTTTCTCCCTGCTGTTTGCCTCTCTTGTCTCTCTCTCTCTGTCTCTCTTTCGCCTGGACGTGGTTGTTCAGGTTTTCATTGATCGTGTCGTGTGATCCCCCTATTTTTGTTCATCTTTTTCTGCGGCGACGACGCATTACGCCGAAATCTAATAGTGGCCTTGTGCGTGTGATAGAAGTGCAATTCTTTGTTTTGTTTTGATTTGTTTTATTACTTTTTTTTTATTTTCGTACAAGTTCCTGCAATTGTAGGCCGGATGAGCGGTGTGGTCAATGTTCTGATTAGGATTTTATACGTATATTTTGTGCAACTTCGGGAATTATATTGCCTCTCGCATCGAAGAATAAGTATATACGCACATCCTCTCGCCCATATGTTCCAAGTGAAAAAAAATTATCTTTTTTATTTTCATTTACATTGTGGTAATGTACACCAACCTAATTCAATGATATATATTTTTTTTCAAGATTCGACAAAAAAACGTAAGTAAGCTCATAGAAAAATAATCCTTGTATCTTCGAG